TTTTTAGTAATGGATTCGATCATTTATATTAAAGGAAAATTTCAATTACAATGTCTTTCTCTTTGAAAAAGAAAGATAAAGCAGGTGAAACAATATTTGTCATATTTTTTTATTTTTAATTTTATTGGACGACTTTGTATTAATATTGAAACTCTTCTTCCTTCAAAAAAGTAGCGGTTAGAACATAAATTTGGCTTAAGCTTTTGCTTATAGATATTAGTGATTTGACTTCCCTGCTTTAAAGTAGAATGAAACCTAATATCAAACCTTTATCATATTTGGTGATTTATGTTATTTTATTTGTTACGTGGTTAAAAGTTAATTGTGAATATGAGAATAATTCAACGATTTAGACACCTTATTCATTCCATTTATTGCACCGAAAAAAAAAGAGATAAAAATTAAACTAAACACCTCATGTTTAAAAATTGTCGGAGTTATGTCTTCTCAATACTCATTAATTATGATATATTTATTTTTTAAATACATGTTCAACTCCCCTACATATAAGCTCGATATTAATTTAAGGTACAAAATCCTATATTAATATCAACTCTAAGAAAAATTATATTATAAAGTTTTCACAATCTAAAGCTTATCATTCATATATATATATATAATTTTTCATTCTCCTTACCAACTTGATGGTTCAATTAGGTGCATATATCTCCAATCTAGACTTAATTCAATTAATCTCGCTAGTTTTCATCAAAAACGGTCGCAAGGAGGAGAAAAGAGAAACAGAGATGGTGAAGGAAGATGAACTTGATGGGTGACTTTGTCTTCGACTGTTCATTTCATTCTAAAATGATTAAAAACCGGAGACAACAAAAAAGGGTACACTTCCAATATCTTTTTCTTTTCCCCCTTTGAGAGAGAGGTTGTTCATCGAATTTCACAGGCTTTCCCCAAACCCAAGAACACCCTCTTTTTCTTTTTCTTTTTCTTTTTTGTTGGTTTTTCAATCAATATAATATTCATCTTTTGAACTGATCTAACCTTAATTTACTGTCCTAAAATAGTAATAAATGCGCTAGCGCTACATGAAAAGCTGAGACTGAAACAAGGTGTAGTAATTAGCAGCCTCATCTTCCAACTCCCACAGCGCATCACACAACGAAGAAACTCCTTGCTCTTCCACCAAAAACTCACCGTTTGGAATCCCCAGCCCCAGCCCCAGCTCGTCATCGGAAGCTTCTAGAAGGTGTCTCATCACTCTCTCTCTCTCCTCCTCGTCCTCCTTTGTGGAAGGAGACGCAGCAGAAGAGCAAGAGGAAGAAGAAGAAGAGGAATCATTATTGGTTGGTGTTGTTGTGGTGGAGGGGTGGGCGTTTTGTTGGCTGTTTTGGTCGGGCGAGCAGATAATTTCTTGTTGGAGTGTGGTGATTATTGAGGACAAATCCTCTATGGCTTCCTCCTCCTCTTCCTCCAACAGGGACATGATTTGGTTGTATGATTTTTGGCGTTTCAAGTCCTCGCCTTCGCTCATGTCTTCGTCAATTTGGGCATCCTCCCTTTGCCGTTTTGAGGCCACTCCAGCCATTTCAGATTGATAGATAGATAGAGGATGTGTGTGCAAGGCGTAAGAAAAAAAAGATGAGGAGAGAGAGAGTGGAGGATGAGGAGCCTTATATAGAGGAAGCCAACCAAAAAAACAGAGAGAGAAAAGAGAGTTGAGGTCAAAATTGAGTGGAAAATTAAAGCCCCCAGATATTTTATTGCATTTGGAATTGAACAAAAGATGCCCAACCCAATATTAAAAAAGAAAAAGCTAATAGTAAGTAATAGGGAATAGGTATTTCCTTTGGAATTATTTAATTGGCCAACAAGAATCTCTTGCTTTGCTGCTCACGGAGATTTCTATAATTAAAAAGTTAATAGCTACGTGGGAGGATTTCAAATAAAGTCTCACATTGATCGGAAAAAAATAAATGATCCTTAGAACGATTATCTTTATTAGATTTTTTGAGTGAAACTAAGAGTGAATCCGTGAATTTGTACTCAAAACAGACAATATCATGCCATATGAAAAATATTATATATATTCGCAGGAGGTGAGTAGAAAAGTTATTATTGTAATTAAAATGGATAATGTTATTGGGCGGCTAGTGAGTTGTTGGGGCCTTGGTTGGAGTTGGACTGACTCAATTGTTTTGGCTCAGAATCTGTCTTCTCTTCTCGAGGGAACATTAAAAATTGGGTCCTCCGCTGCGTCTCTCTCTCTCTCTCTGTATTGCATATGGATATGGACTCAACATAAACAAACCTTTACCTTTACCTTTACCTTTACCTTTGCGTTACACGAGTCGTGACAAAGGGAAGATCAAAAATTGAAGAAAACGACAAGCCAAGTGTAATGGAAGAAAGAGGCATCTGTTTGAAACTGTACTCTGTTTGACTGTTCATCAACCAGAGTACTGGCATGGGCAATGGCAAATCAGTCTTCTACTTTATTTTTAATTGAAACTTAGTTAATTAAATTTAAAAGCCTCGAGATTTTATGTGTGGTCGCTGTCTGTTTTCTATCTCAAACCAACTCTACAGCAGCCTCCCTCTTCTCTTCTCTTCTCTGTGATTTCTTTTTCTAAGGTGTCGGTGATAACGGAGACGTCCAATGGAATTTACTTTTATTTAATTTAATTTTTTCTTGTTTAGGATAACAATTAATTTAAAAATTTTCGATAAAACAACAAGACGACCACGTTTCTTGTCATATTTTAATTTGTTTCTTGGTTGGCCAGGAAAGGTTGCCTGCTTTTCTTCCATGGTTAATTCAATACCTGTCGTTTTTCATGTCTAATTGATGATGCTCTGTCCTCTGTTCCCATTTTAACTCCTCTTTTTGTCTCTTATAATTTATTGGGGAT